GCTGCCCAGCTGAAACGCCGGCAGGCTCTTGCGAAGGAGGGAGGTGGAGGTCCCCCCTCTCCTTCGCAAGAGCCTTTCTACCCAGCTGGGCAGCGGGCTCTTGCAAAGGAGGGAGCCACCTCCCTCCTTCGCAAGAGCCCGCTGCCCAGCTGAAACGACGGGGCCAGCTCTTGCGAAGGAGAGCGGGGACCTCCACCTCCCTCTTTCGCAAGAGCCAGCTGGTGTTTCTACCCAGCCGGGCATCCCGGGCCAGGCAAAGCAGTGGAAGCCTTCCGGACCCCCCTACCCTGCCCCGCCTACCCCAGCCATGCTCGGACTCCTGGGAGTTCGAGCATGGTTGGGATAAGGCGGCGCGGGGCGGCTTCAAGCGGCGCCAGCGGTGGCAGGGTGGGTGGGGGTCCGGACGGCTTCCAGTGCTTTGAATGGAAGCCATCCGGATCCACCCTACCCTGCCTCCACCGCCGCTGAGAGCCTTCCGAGCTCTCAAAGGGCTTTCTCCAATGTCGGAGGGGGGCCCTTTGAGAGCTCAGAAGGGAAATGTTGGTGGTGGGAAGTGGCTTCGGGATCCTTCCAAGGCCGCCGCCCACTGCCGACATTTTTCCCCAGCTGAGTGGCGGGGCTCCCGCTCAGCTTGAGGGAAATGCCCCCTCCGAAGGGGAATGTCTGCGGTGGCCTCGGAAGGACCCTTCGGAAGGGGCCTTCCGAGGCTACCGCCGGCATTTTCCCCCAGCTGAGCGGCAGGGGCAGTCCTTCAGAGGCTCCCGCCGGTCAGCTGGGGGAAAATGGTACCTATGGGGAAAAATCGCAAAGCAATTTTTCCCCATAGGCAACATCGTAATGCGATCGCAAAAGCGATGGCAAAAAAGCCATCGCTATGCGAATTCGTTGTTAAATGGGGCGCTCGTTATACGAGGCACCACTGTACTTCTCATAACATTTTTGCAAAAAATAGTGGAAAAAATTCTACATGGGGAAAGGAGTGAATCTCTGTTTGGTCCTCATATGGTAAGCCATTTTGTTTTTATGTGTACAGTAGTACCTTGGGGTTTGCGAATGCCTCAGTTTACATGTTTTTTGGTTTACGAATCGAAATCCATAAGAAATAAAGCCCCGGTTTACCTTTTCTTTTCCTTGCACTACGAAAGGATTTTCCCAGGGCGCATTGTGCCTATAGCACTGCCCCTTTTGTAGCACAATTGGTCTTTCGGTTTGCGAAATTTCCATAATATGTAATGTCATGTAGAACGGATCTGTTTCACAAACCGAGATACTACAGTACTAAGAAAGAATTTACTACAGCTATAATTGGACAGAGGACTGTACAGTACATCCTAGAAGAGCCTATCATTCTGCTTTTAAAATTATGCTTCTGCACAGTATGGAGCACATATTCCTCTCATGACCACTACTTATTTCACCAAATGCAAAATTAAATTAATCTGAGATGAAGGCTTGAGATCCCTGTCCGCTCCCATTCCTCCTGTTGTGATAGCCGGATGATAAGATGACTCTGACGCTGAGGTTGTTCCCAGTCTCACAAGCCTATGTTTTGATATCATTGATTCAGGTGTGTGTGACTCATTAACCCAGTATGTCTCAGGGTGTAGTAAAGATGGGATGCAAAGGCAGGTGCCCGATTGCACCAGGAAGGCTACTTTAGCAGGAGCAATACTCCTTAAAGGAATCTGCCAGGGAATTGCTCCAGCCCAGTTCCAAACAGTAGAAGTCTTCAGCTGGACCAGAAAAGCTTGGATAGTGATCAGGGGTCAGCCTGAAGTGCATTTCACCGCATGTCTTGTGATTGCTGAGAAACAGATGGCACCAGACCACTCCACAAGCAGTCCAAACTGCTATCTTTTCCTCTACATCGTATCCAATACCTTCAACTGATTTAAGGGAGAGAAGGGGTTGCTCGTAGATCTCATCTAAGTCCTCCTAAGCTTGGCTGCTCAGTCAAAACTCAGAGGCAAGTTCCACTCAACTCACTGTGTTACCTTAATGATGTGCAAGTGTCTTGCAGTGTGCATTTTTGTGGAATACAGAGGGCTCTAGTCTAAAGCACCGCTCTTCGCCACGGGACTTGAGCCCTCCAGCACAGAACCGTCCTCAGCTTAATTACCATGTGAGATGTGGTTCAGCCTAAAGCATCCTCTAACCTGCGACTAAAGGTAAGTATCTCTTTGACAAATGAGGCATGACTTTCCAAAGAGAGTTCTAGAAAGCAAGGAAGGTCTAGCCGTACAACCAATGGAGGAGGGGGAAGGATAAAACCAAGCTATTTATACTGCCCCCCACCTACAAGACCAACTTCATTCTCCAGGTGAGCCGCACAACAGTAAGTCTTCACGCAATGCACCCTGGGAGCGGCCCGCTCTCAGACCAGAGTAGCTCAGCCGCCATAGCGCGGGCGGCCCTCCGTTTGGCAATAAGCGAGGCCGAGGCCGAGTTGTACCATAGAGATGCAGCGTTCTTCCCGGTGTCCAGAGCAGCCGGAAGTCAATTCAGACTCCGGGCGGATGTAGGCGAGAGGCCGGGGAGCTCGTCGGGCATGATGAAGCCGGCCGTGGACGAGATGTTCCCCGAAGGCGCGGGGCCCTACGTCGACCTCGATGAGGTGAGGGGTTAGGTGGGGGAAGCGGGCTGTGTTACGGCCCAGTTTGCTTGGAAAGGCGTTCGTACGGCTCTCTCTTTGGGGGTGGTGGTGGTGGTGCTTTCTGCGCGGTAAGAGGCGGCAGCGTTTCTTCCCAGCTGTTCAGCGGGTAGTTTAGCGTTGGGGTGTCGGACGCTGCGTCGCTTTGGGCTACCTGGTTGCTGCCCCGGGACAATTAAGATTAAGGCGAGGGGGTAGCAAGAGCTGCGTAGTCCAAACCCTCCGAGTGTTTGGACTATCTTTCCCAGAACCCCTGTCTATTGGTCTTGCACGCTGGAGGCTTCTGGGAGATGAAGTCCAAAACATCAGAAGAATTTAAAATTTAATTTCCCTATCCCTCGCCGTATAAAGTCCTGAATTGAGTAGGAAGCGGGGCAAGTTCCTCGCCTCGCAAGGATTTATTTGCACATCTGTTTTCAAGGCTATGAGATTGAAGACAACTCGGATGGGCGGGGTGGTGGTGCTTGTGCTCTGGTTCTTTTAACCCTCCTTTTTTTTTTTTTGCTTTTTAGACATGCGTGGAATTTTCAGAATGGAGCTTGGGGGACAAATACTCAAATACGTCTTCTTCTTTCTTAGCTTAGTTTGCTAAACTTTACTGAGTCACTAATGTAACACTGTCACATTAAGTGCGTATGGTAGTAGAAGGGAAATAGTTACATGGCCTTTGATAGCTTACACATTTTAAGTGTTGTACTGCACCCCACTCCTTTCTGGTCATCGCCACTAGATTTGCCCCCATTGGTGTGAATAAATGAATGAATTATGTATTAAATGTACAGATACTGTCGTGAATCTTGGGATGGTGTGCATGGAATGTGTTCTAAAAGGTACAATTACTGAGCCTTAGATCTTTAATCATAAGGTGCAAAATCATAAGTACACAAATTATCTGTATATTGCTTGTATGATTGACAAAATATTTTTTCCTCAGGCTGGAGGAAGTACAGGACTCTTGATGGATTTAGCAGCCAATGAAAAGGCAGTACATGCAGACTTCTTTAACAGTAAGTGTTAAAATAAAAGCTACTATAAAATTATAAAAACATGTTTTTATTCTAAACCAACCATGTATTCTTAAACCAATATCCAGCAGTTTTTTTAACATTTGTTTGCTTTCTTACTGGTGCAGGGGAGAAAACCCAGCTACAAGCCTACAAACTGCCCACAGTAGTGGCTTGCCACTAAATTGGCAGTGTATTAATGTAATAAATAAGTAAATAAATAAACAAATATTTTAAAGGGGTTAAGCTAGAGGGACATTTTGGGAAGGTCAAATGTAGCAGTTTGATAAAAGAAAGAATGTGCTTCCTTGTACTTCTAACAAACAAGGAGCCAGTCATCATGCCTAATTTCTTACTCAGGGAAAAAAAAATAAAAAAATGGTTGCATGGAATTTTGAATGTAAAACATTTAGAGTTACAGTGAGCTTACCATGTGTGACTTCGGGAGGGGGGGCATTTTTGTATGTTCCATCAACTATTTTCAGTTACCTTAGATAGGAAATGGCCCGCTTCCATGTATGTACTTGTCAGGGAGATGCTCCATGCTTATTGGCCAGGCAGGACCCTTGCAGTATACACATTTTCTCTTTGATTCTCCTTGATTTGCAGAGGAGTTGGGAGAGACCTTACGTTGCACTGAGCTTTGATGCTGCCTTTTGCATGCTCCAAAACTCAGCATAATTTGGGACTTGCCTCTCCACTGTTCTAAACAGAGGAGACTGGCTCTTGCCAAAGGAGCCTCACAGATTCATATTGCTTTAGCCTGCCCTGTTCCAAATTCAAGAACAGCAATACATTCCTTCATATGTATTGGCACATATAGAGGACTTGAGGAAAGGATAAATTAGTTGTGTGTGTAAATACTGGTTAGCTGCTAAGCAGAAATTGCATCTACCTAGGTTGTAAGCATGGGGAAACTCTAAATACTTATACTGAAAGCATGGACTTCAGGCATACAAAGAGCAAAAGCCTTGCAGTATATACAGCCTTGTCACTCCCAGCAGAGTGAGCAAAGAGAACTGATTGGTACACATCGACCACATATTTGTACATTTGTGACACCTGAGCTGTAAAGCAAATGTTGGTGAGGAAACTGTGTCAAAATTAAATCACAATTATCAAATTAATGGTTGGACTCAGAGGATTATGCTTGTGTGGGAGAACTTTCCCTTAACCAATAGTGACCTGCTTCCTGCTCATTTGAATTTCATGTTGACTTGATCAAAAAAGGTTCAAGTCTCTTTCATCACTAAGAAATAAAATCTGTATTACTACCTAACTGTTTAGATAGAACATGTATTTCATTAATTTTGGAATAATGTATTTTTTGTAACTTTTTATTAGATTTTGAAGATATGTTTGATGACGATGATATCCAGTGAAAACCACCCTCAAGTTTATTTTAGAAGATTACCGGAAAATGTGACTATTTTCTCCGAGACATGAAAGAACATTCTAAAATGGCTTAAGATGGATGGACAGAAGAACTGTGAAGCTCTTAAATTCTAGGAAATACGTTGTTTTACAAGCTTTCTTCAATAAAATCTTAGAAATATCTATTTATTTTAAGGCTTTATGGACTTTTTCATGCTTCTCAAGACAGTTTATGAGTAATAAGTACTCCTCCCCTTTACATGCCTGCATTCTCACAAATACAATAAATCCAGCAGCTTTTAGTCCTTTGGTTGATCAGTGGGCTAGAATGTGTTTTTCTTTGGTTTTGCACTCTGAGAATATTCCAGGTATGGGCATTTTATTGCTGGTGCAGGACTCAAAAGCATGCTTATTCCTTCTCATTCTTTAGGAAGTTGTGTATTATAGCATGTTTAATAGTAATCCTACTTTCTTTTGTGTCTCAGAGAAGCAATTGGGGTTTGGGAAAATAATTAAGACTTACCTGAATTCACTTACTCACAAGTGACACATGAAAGGATTTAGTAGAATTAAGTTTATTTCAGATGTATCTCCATGAAAATAATGATGTGTTCTGGAAGTGATCCTAACCAATAGCTGATATCTTCTCAGATTCACATATTTATTTATTTGGAATACTTTTGCTTGATAGCCTTAAGGTGCTGGGAAAAGTAGAAAGCAGCAAAAGATGGATTGAGTAGGGAAGCCACAGGCTTTCACTTGCAAGAGCTGGGCAGTGCAGTTAATGATAAGAGTTTTTTGAGAATATTAATTCATAGTTACCATATGTCAGAAACTTTGCAGCACATAACAGTGAATAGCCTTGCAGGGCTCCCAAAGGGCTTATAAAAGATTCCTAATCAGTCCAATCTAATTCAGGAACGAACCTCTCATCCCTATGAAGCTATAATTATTCAGCCAGTGTTTTCTGTCCTTTTTTCCCCTAGTGTCATGTTGTCCGCAGCCAATAATTCCTATTTTTCTTGTTTAGTCATGTCCAACTCTTTGTGACGTACAAATGCAGGAAAGACAAGTTCAGCCTCAGAAGTATTTCTTGGCTGTTTTCTGAGAGGAATGACTGGAGTTAAGCAAACGGAGTTTGCTCAGCCTGTGATAGCAATCCCTCTGTACCCAATTGTGGAGAAATACTGCAAATATGTGTGGTTTTGATTTATTTATTAAAAGTAGTTTTACACTGCTCTTCAGTTGAAAGGATCCCAGAGCGTCTTCCAAGTCAGTGATAAACAGGATTGTCTTTGTTCTCACATCCACAAACTATATGGGCATACTGTGTATATACTTACAATGACAATAAATAAATAAATAAATAAATAAAATAAAATAAAATAAAATAAAAAGCATACAAAACAAAAAAGCAAGGCTTGCAGGGCAGGGAAAGTAAAACTGAATTCAGGCACCTGTTCTTGTAACAACCCACTAAATGGAAACTGGAAAGGAAATGAGGTAAGGCAAAAGAGTATCCCTTTTCTCTATCTGCTGCACAGCCCGATGGGGAAATCTTATAGTACTGTATGGTGAAACTGCTTTGGACACCTGAGAAGTAATATAAAATATCACACTGTAATCCTTACAGTAAGCTCTATCACAAAAGGGACTGCAGCAGAGAGAAAATCAGTTACAGCCTAGTAAATTTAGGGTGGAGGTGAAATTCCAAAACTGGAGACTATCTCTTGGCTATGAGGATTTGTGAGTTGGTGTAAGAGAACCTGTAACTGTCTTGTGAAAGAGTGTTTTGGACATTCCAAAACCTGTAGCCATCTGGAAATAAATGTATGGAATCATGGGACTTGGCAGGAGAGATGACAGGCTTTAAGGTGGGTGCAGGTGGCAATGGATTGAAGAGGACATGTATCATTACTGTGACATACCAAGGGATCCCATATGAGGCCAAGAACTCTAGAAACCATATTTTCTCTAATACGTACATCCAGAATACTTCTTTCTGCCATTCTGATGTAACTGTTTTGTACACATACCTGTGTACTTGATGTGAGAAACTGCAGCAGGTCTCTATCCTATTGACTCCCCACAAACTACACCCGATCCTTTTTATGAAACTAAAGGTGAGTATGAAGGTCCCTTCCTGTTTTCAAAAAATGCTATTTGAAAATGAAAAGTGGGTGGTGAATGGGAATAGTGTTTAGTAAGAGGTTTAAAACCCCTAGAAGTTATTTGGTTTCCTGTTCTTCCTTTTTTGGTGAGGGGTTGTTTTTTTACGCTGATGGTGGGGACCATACAGGAGTCCCTTATGGGCTGCACCCTTCTTGCCCCAATGCCCCAGTATGTAGGAAAGGCAGAATTTATCTGAAATGCAAATTTCAGAATACCCAGACCTGATTACAGATGCCTAATAAATACTAGTTTGCTTGCAGAGCTGAATAGCCAGAACAAGTAGAAGTAAGCTTTTTTTTTTGGCTCTTTGCAAGATGAACATACCAAGTAAGCAGAAAATGCAGAGATTAAAAGAATAATTCATAATTTGCAATAATTAAAATTCACATTAATTAAGATTGATCTATTTAAATAGGCTTACAATATAAGCAAACAAAATTATCCCCATAGTAATAGGTAGTTTATGTATTTTTTTTCTGATCCTAACATTAGCAAAAAGGGCTCCATGAAAAGTTGCAAATATAAAATGTCCAATGGCTATGGAATGAAGAACTCTCAGTTAAAGGTATGCAAATTCCTGTCACAGGTCACATAACTCATATAAAGGTGCACATGGAGACATGCAAACAAAATGTTAAATCTATACCAATAACAATTCCCCCTATAGTTCTCTTAATGTTATTTCTGTGTATATCTGCTGGAAATCAATTTAGTTCAGTACTGTATAAGAAATCCAGTGATAAATTTGATCAGATGTGCCTTGGAAAGCCAAGTGTTATCCATCTGTCATACTGTTGCTAGTAACATAGCTTTCTTTTACGAATTACATGTCAGTTTCTAACCTGAGCACAGCAGATGGTACATCTTTGGGTAACCCAGCAGGACTCTTAAAGCATAGCTCTGAAGTGATAAACCTTAGAACTTCAAAGTATCACAGGCCTATATCCCATAGAGCATTTTGGCCATTGTTTTAGATTTACAGACAGGACAAGATTTAAAACTTTCCTTCAGAAAGACCAAAATTCAAAACAGCCCAAGGTCATCTAAAGACCTATAGTATATTAATTTGATAAATATGTTCCAAGGCATTGTTTCTTAATATACCAATCCAAAGCATTTAAACTGTTTATTTGATAGCTATTGAAATGCCAGCCATGAGTTTTAGGATGCTTTCAGAACACAATGCTATATTTAGTACAGTTTATGAACTGTACTAAAGTTGGTTTACAATACAAAGCAAACTGTGCAAAAAGTCATTACTGTGTTGTCTAATACTAGCAGAGGTCTGCAGATTTAGGGTGGCAAAGTGCAACTCTCAAAAATCCCCCAGGAATTTAGGAAATTATAGTCCTAAACCCACGCATCTCTTCCTTAAAAAATTATTCTACCACAGTAAATAACCTAATATCCCTGATTTCATTCTCTAAATCTGTCCTGACTATTAAAATGTTCATTATTTCCTTATGAAATAAGGTTATAAGTTATTGCTGACTTTTCACCACCTTAAGTGACACTCAACACAGGCCTTTCTGCAGTGGGCATTTGCCATCATAACTCAACTCACTGTTGCTGACCTCTAACCAATTCTTTTAGTCTCTCCAACTTCTAATTAACTTTCTCAACTGACCCTGTCTGTACCCACTGTTCTGTCTCCAGCTCCTGCTGTGTAATTCCTCCACTCATTCTTGTGTTGTAAGTTACCCATACAGTCTCCCACCTGCTGTGATAAAGTGGATAACAGGAAGAGGCAGAGCTGCTTGAAAGCTGAAACTGGGGCGGTGGGGGCAGAGGTGGAATGTGCTGTCACATTGTTTCTGCAGCACTTTCCTGTAATGTTGTATGAGAAGGTATGAGAGATGAAGGCCACATTGTCTAATGGAGCAAAAATCCCTGTAGGCTTTTTGCTGCATTAGTGGATTTGAGTACACATGTTGGAGGAGTGGATGTGGACATTTTTTCTTAAGCTGGTTTAGCTCTTCTTCGTGTCATTCTATTTGTGAACCCAGTACTACATGGCAAAGCTGCTATGCACCTAGCTTTGCTGAAGACAGATTTATTTTTCAAGAGCTGCCAGACAATAGTCATCAATTTGATGGTATCTTTTCATTTCAAGGCTGGAGAGCTTTTGGGCTCCCAGGTATTTTGGACTACGATATTTTGGGGCTACCTTTGAGATTGATGCAAAAGCTTCAAATGGTGCAGAACGCGGTGGCCAGACTGGGGTGAGAAAACATCACCATATCTCCCCTACTCTGGCTGCCCTGCATTGACTGCCTGTTTGTTTTCGCATTGATATCAAAGTACTAATGATGACATATAAAGCCCTAAACAGTTTAGGACCTCAGTGCCTGGTGGAATGCCTCCTCCCACCTAGATCGAATCACTCACTTTAGTCAAGATGGGCGGCTGAGGGGCCTAATGCTGAGGGAGGCCCAAAGAGAAAGAACAAGGAAGGGGGCCTTCTCAGCAGTGGACGCTTATCTCTGGAACAATCTCCCCCCAGAAATTTGTCTCGCTCCCTCACTGGGTGTTTTTAAGAGCCAACTCAAGACCTGGTTCTTTAGGCAGGCCTTCCCTCCTGTCAGCCCAGGGATGTGGTGGCGCTGCAGGTTAAACCGCAGAAGCCTCTGTGCTGCAAGGTCTGAAGACCTGCAGTCGTAAGATTCAATCCACGTGTCAGAGTGAGCCCCCATTGCTTGTCCCAGCTCCCGCCAACCTAGCAGTTCGAAAGCATGCAAAATGCAAAATACGAGTAGATAAATAGGTACTACCATGGTGGGAAGGTAATGGCGTTCCATGTCTAATCGCGCTGGCCACGTGACCACGGAAGATTGTCTACGGACAAACGCTAGCTCTATGGTTTGGAAACGGAGATGAGCACTGCCCCCTAGAGTTGGACACGACTGGACAAATTGTCAAGGGGAACCTTTACCTTTACTTCCCTCCTGTCAATACTTAATTTATTCGCTATCTTCTATTGTACTAATGTTGTTGTTTTATTTTATTTTATTATTCTT